TAAGTCTGGCGGTTTTCAATTTTCACTTACTTGAGTAGTTTTAATTTTAATTTTAGTCGGCTTCTGTTTAAGTTCAATCAATTATCTTATGAACTTGTTAAGTTGGTTTCAAATGTTAAAAGCAGAATTAATGGGCATTTCCATGTATCCAACATGATTGTCAAGACTAAAAGTTCATTAAATGTAAAAGTTGTTAAAAGAATTAAAATTCCTATGTGCGCGATATTATGCAAATGTCTTATCATCAGCAACTAACGTCAAGCGAATCCAGTCTGATTGCACGTTATTTTTTTCACGCATTTGTTTTTCAGCAATTCATAGATAATGCAGTCAAGTTTATAACGGTTTCTTCATTTTTATTTACACGTATTAATCTATCTACTTATTATTATATATTTTTTTAATGTTCAGATATAAACGAATGCAAAGAGAAGATGCATAACTGTCACAAGATGTACGGTGTCTGCACCAATCTTATGCCTTTCTTTCAGTGTACGTGTGCACTGGGCTTCAAAGGGAATGGTACTCATTGCATTGGTAAGTTACTTTGCGCTTTGTTTTAAGTAACTGTTTCTAGCTAACGAAACATCGATGAGCTGAGTTTAAAAAACATTTCACTGCAACTTTGAAGAGACATCAAAAAAGTTGGTGCAGACGTCACTTAAAATCGATCCCATCCATTTTCTTGATCCGGGGCTAGGAGTGTGTGCAGTCTAACCGTCGTTCAAGCTAACAAACTCTACATATGATTTCAGCAACTAACCTCTAACTTGTGTTATCATATTACAGCACTAGATCTGGTTTACATGATTGACTTAAAGCTTCCAACAAGCAGATGGCGTGAGGAATATCGAATGTCCAACTCCTCACAATTCCAAACCCTTGCCTTGGAAATAGAACAAGGGGTATTATTTTCGTTTTATTTTTTGTTTTATTTAGTGAGAGAATTATTCAACTTTTCATATTGCGTCTTGACTTAGACATTATCACCAGGAGTAAACAGCTAGTCAAATAGATCCCCTGTTACAGCTGTATCGCTATTCACGTTCCACTTTTCTTCGCTGTACCTCGGTTCTGGGAGCACATGAATTGTCTTCAAGAAGAGTTTTTCGCAAGCGTGACAAAATCGAACTGAGGTGAAATTACTGACTAATAAAGGAGATTGCAACGAGGGGGGAAAGGGGGAGTGTGGTACACGCCACTTTGCGTAAAGTAGTTAGTTGAAGGTGAGGCACGAAGATTGTATCGGGACAATCTTCCAACTGGTCAGCATCTTTTTAACGTGTTAGTCCTTTATCTGGAATAAACAGAGACCACCAAGACTGTTAACTGATGAACATTGCAACTCTTTCAGGTAAGGTACGTCTACAGAGATGACCCTTCGTTCTTACGGACATACGTTGTGGGTCTTCATAACAGGTATAAATAATATTATGTAATCATCTTCTGGAAAGGAGACGAACGTAAACCATCCAGAAAGTCGCTACTTAACCTTAGCCAGTTACCTGAAATTATAGCTACTCAATACGTACAGAGGGCCACACGCAATCCTGGTCAATGGTCTTCGGACGTGAGACACTTTCTTCTTTCCACCGAACGTTCATGGTACAGCACAATTGTATTTAGCAAATGACTTGGCGGACGTAGCCTATGCTGCACTCAAAGGAGCGAAGAGAATGAGTGTTAGTGACTTAGCGGATAGTTACCTAATTTTTTTTTTTTCGAACTGGCGATTTTTGCCCTATCAATTAAAAGTCAAGTCTCCAGTTATCGCCTGAAAAGGATTCTTCAAACCGTCGCTTTCCTGCATGGAGTCATTTATAAAATACTCACTGCATTTGAAAAATTATCTCCTCATACCTTGCCTTTCTATTTTGAGTAGAAATCATTAACGCATAAATAGAAGAAGTGTTCATGTCTTCTCCAATTGATCTATTTTCTATTCTAGTGATGGAATTGTGTTGATTGAGGTCTGGATGGCGTTTGTCTCTGATGCAATACTACCAATCAGGCCTCTGAACCTGGCTGTGAAGAGGGGAGGACTTAAACACCTAGCCATAGAGATGGATGGTTATCATGTCACACAAGTAGCTGGTATGTTTAGATTTCCAGCCAGAAAGAAATTTTCATAAGCAAGAAAATTGCCGGATAGAGTTTTTCGTTCTTTATAACAAAATCGTTTTTTCGTTACAGAGAGAATTGACTGTCCAATAACGTGTTCTGAGCAGGCCTATTGTGAAAGAAACGGTTCTTCCTTTGATTGTGTTTGCACCAGAGGTTACATTGGTGACGGAAGAGAGTGCATCGGTAAGTTCGCAATTAGTAAGTTGGATTAGTGGCACATGGCGAACCAAGAATGCTATGACTAAGATGCATTGAGCCAAATATATTTCAGTTGTTCTTATTGTCATTTTTTGCCGTCTTCAGATCTGAATGAGTGCGAGGTTAACAATGGCGGCTGTCAGCATGTGTGTATCAACAACCCGGATGGTAGCTACCATTGCTTATGCAATCAAGGTTTCCTTCTTCATAGCGACAGGAAACAATGTCGAGGTAAACGATGAAAACATGGAATTCATATAAGTATGTTGGCAGTCACTTAATTTCTTACTCTGTGATTCGCAGCGTCTGAGGGTGACTTAGCCTATTGTTCCGCTGAATGGCGTCAAGATATTTTATGGAGTCATACTGTAGCAAGCAGTACAGACATCAGCTCTTGTCCTCAGGATCACCTGACTAGTAGTAAGTTATACATTGTACCTAGATATGCGCGTGCCATTGAAGTGCAAACTAAAGAGAGGAAGAGCTTCAACCACAGGTGATATACGTTGACTGGTGTTGATTAGGCATATTACAGATTCGTCTATCTAAGAAAAGGACTGGATTTTTCTGTTCCGATTCACTTCAGGGCGATCATTCCTATTTGATTCAAGTTTAATCCTATTGCAGGCTTTTTTGCAGAAGAAATCTCTTTCAGAACTACGATTTTATACATAAGTGATGATGTTTAAACCACTTATTTTATCTTTAACAACTGAAAACCGGGATGGTCAAAACTGCGACGAAGTATTATACTGAGTATGTCTGATAATGGTATTGATGCTGCCAATGTGTTATATTTTTTAATCAGATGAAGCACAGAGGACCTGCTTCAGTGGTGTCAGGGGAGGAGTATGGGGAGTTCCTGATCTTTCTCGGTGCCTGACAAAAGCCATGCATGAACTTCAACAAAAGGCAAGGATTCCTAACCGATGTCATAGTTTTCTCTCTATGTTACGCTTTTCTGCAGGGAATAAAATTTGTCATTAAGACTTGATGGCTATTTTTTCAAACTTTCCTCGAATTAGCTAGAAGGCCATTTATTGGTCTTCGCGTAAGAACGAAGTGACGAATCACCTGTCAGAAAAACTATTATTTCGTCCAGCAATTGTAATTTGAAGGAAGGTTTTGGCGTTAGGATATCCACAAATCAGTACATGGAACGTCAGCAGTAATCTTTTAAAAATGATACAATTAAAAACCTAGCTTACTTCACTGATTTTTTCTCGACAGGTTACAACATTGCTAAAAGGAGATGTCAGTTTTTCCGATTTGCTACACATTTCGAAGGAACTGCGAAATATCCTTGACCCCAAAGTTGACAAGATTTACGCAGGAGATATATTTGTGGCAGTTGATGTCATGGACACTCTAAATCAACAGATCAGCGCTACAATGACCAATGTCACTAAACAAGAGTTATCTGATTTTCTGCAGGTATGGAGTATAATTAATTTAACAAATTTTTCTCCATGTACATAATAGTAATAATAATGATGATAATAATAATAATAATAATAATAATAATAATAATAATAATAATAAATAGTTTTTATGGAGGAAGCTTCCGTCACATTGCGTGGTTTTCAGGGAGGTCCTCAGTAACTAAGGTAAAATACAATAAAAATGTAAAAACTAATCACAATCAAATCCAAGTAGTAATAAAAAATGGAAGTAAAAATTGAAAATCACTTTTTAAAATTTAAACCTATCAAGTAACGACATTCTAAGAGAATTATAAGGAAGCTTTGTTATGTCCATAGGTAGGGCATTCCAATCGGGCAAAGCACTATTTACTGATTTGAGCAAACCCGGTTACTACTTGATTTCATGGATCGAATAGTGTCCTTTGAGCGTTGTGGGCATAACTGATTTTTTTGCGATCAACTTTTAGTGGGATTCTTTCAGTTGTTAAAATATATTTCTATTGTCACAGAACATGGCCGGCAGTGTAAGCAATCTACTCCACCCAGAAAACAGACAGGCCTGGAATGGCATGGATAAGGTAGATAACCCTGGACATTTTTCCATTTAAATCTTTGACTTATTTGGCTGCTTATTTAATGTTAAATGTATAAGTCATTGTTTCCCTTTTCAAGTTTCCGTGTGCATTTTTGGAGGGATTTATATTGCCAACATGAAATGCTGAATTCTTTATTTTTAGATTGCTCTCAAAGCTACAGAGATGGTGTCAGTTTTAGAAGATAGCACTGCAGCCGCTGCTAACCAACAGCTTCAAGACATGTTAAACAACGCCATTACAGACCCAGACAAGTTTCGTAATCTTAGCATAACAGTCAAAGTCCCCCATGTTGGTAAGACGAAGTCAGCTTAGCACAATGTCTTTCACAGAGGTCAATCTTTGATAACCAAGAAAAGAAAGTACCTAACTCACGTTGACATCAATGTATTTTGGCTTTTGCTGTTGGACACGATCACGTCCGTCTTACTTTATTTGTTTTATTTTTCGATCTTACAACGCGGCCAAAGTGTCTGAAAAATAGAAAACCAGCCTACCCTTTATATGATATTGTCAGCCCTTTGAAAAGGTTCTCTGTCTTTCGAGAAGGTTGGCGGCGTTGTAAAATGATGCAATTTTTCCAAGGAAACTTTCTTCACTGAGAAAATTTCCCACTTTAGCACTTTATGTGGCAATTTTCGCAGGACAATTTTTGCAAGTTTAGCAAGGATTCAGTTCTACTTAAGCATTTTTACTGCAGGAATCAGAGTAGCATGTTTCTTAATTCTTCCTAAAGAAGTAGCGAAAAAACGTTTTCTTCTCAAAACAAAGAAACACGCAGAAGTAAACAAATAGCATTCTTTCTCATTTTTTCTGCTCTCTTATTAAAAAAAATTAAGACACTTCGTGGTCTAATTGTTTGCACTTTTGATTTTTATGATCTTTACAGAGATAACCATTGACGTCATTGAGATGATTAAGTTCAAAGGTCTTTCACTTTCGATGATGCGCAACTTGTCCGTGGATGGTGGAAATGGATCGGTCATTATAAATCAGATTACTTTCCCACCTTCCTTATTTGAAGATGCACTCAGCGAAAAGTTAGCCTCAGGTGTGTGGTCTGTTAGTGCTTTAGAAATAAGAATTGAGTAATTAGGATGATTGAATGACAGCACTAACAAGCATGTCTTGTATGAGGTTTATTTGACTCAGGGATATCTGTAACAATCCAAGTTCGATTTAGCAAGATTCTAACATGACATCGAAAATTTCTGCCATACCTCTATACTTCGTCTTTTTTCTTTGTGTCAAGACTGGTATAGGAATTACAAGACAAAGGAATTTCAGAAAATTTACAATTTTGAGCAGAAAACCTTAGGGTCATGTTGGAATTTTAATATACCAAATATGGTTATTGCCTCTGGTGATGGGTACCGGCGAACTTAATGCTGGGTGTAACCCTGCTTTACCTTACTAACGTTGACAAACAAATCCGTTTCGAATATACTTTTTCTTTGCATTTTCCAGGATTCTATACCAGCCTTGGCTGTTATAGCGACAATGATCAAGACCGAGCAGTACCTACCATGGAGGGCACACATCAGTTGTTAAAAGAAAGCTTTCTTACTCGCAAGGATGCTGTAGCAAAGTGTGCAGAGGTGACCAGGAGTCGTGGATGGAAGGTATTTGCTGTTCAAGATGGCGGCTGGTGCGCCTCAAGTCCCACTGCTCATTTGACGTACAACAAATACGGGACCGCAGTGAATTGCGTTGATGGAAAAGGAGGAATGTTCGCTAACGATGTTTACATCATCAATGGTAAGATATCTCAGTGACTTGGATTGAGTAATGAAAGAAGCAAAAAGGTTTCAGGTTATAACAGCAGAATTTCGAAGCACCGAAACTGTCTGAATTTATTTCATCTAATTACGTATTTTTCTTAGAACTCAATATATGGACGTTTAATAATGTGATGTTTTAACCCAGATTAATAATTTTAAAGCCATAAAGTATAAATGATAGTGTAAACAAAGGTTAGCTGGCAGCTCAAAAAGAAACCTATTTTTTAAAATTAGAGAAATTTTTCATTGGTTTAACTTTGGCCCTGTAAAATGCTTTTACAATGGTTACAAAATAGGCAGAGATAAAAGCTAGATATCACTAACGTTATACTGATTTGATTTCTTACTTAGCATACTACACAGGCGTTTGTTCGATATTTTACACGAACTTGGAGGATTTATTAACGTCGGATCCTCTGCTAGAAATATGGTGAGTTTGAGCGAAGAGACCATGATCATGATGGCAAGGCGACATGAGAAAATCAAAAGAGCGGTTAATCTATACTGACACTCTTGTTTCTTAATTTAGTTATAGTTTTTTCTGTCTTTATTTGCTTTTGTTGTTTCCTCTAACTAACAATAACTTGAGTGTAGATTAGCCTTTCTGTTATAACGCCTAATGTTCTTTACAAAATTTTATATTTTTTCCTTTATCGTGGATTTGCAGGTCTTTGGAGGAAATGGGCGCACAGACGCCCTATAACAAATCCAAGCTTAACTCCATTATTATATCGGGAAAAATAGTGTCTGAACAGCAGAAGTTTTATCAGTCACTGTCAGATCCAATAGAATTAGTATTTGAACACTTGGTAAGACAATTTATTGAATTAATGTACATGTAATGCGTAGCTGCATCACATTAACTACGCCCATAAGGCCAATTTTTTCTTGATTTGTTTAGAATTTGAAATATGCACAAACATTAATCACAAATAATCTGTAGCTGAACATCAGGTCGTTACACAACGAAATGTAGTTAAATTTGCAAAGCTTTTAAGATCACGTTGAGGTCCAAAACTGCTCAACTTTTAATTAGTTTTGTCGATAAAATTGCGCACTGGTAACTATTCAAAATAAGCTTTTGAGATATTTAGATTTTGTTCGAAGATAACGACAATCCGAGCCAGGTACCAAGAGTTGTTTCAGGTCATATTATTCAATTAATATCGATGTTTAGGCTTTTTTGTATTTTCATTCAGGATACTAATGACACGACACCTGTCCTTTGTGCTTTTCTTAACATGGATTCGGAGTAAGTATAAATTCAACTTGCATTTTGCATCGTAGAGGAACGAATTGTCCAAAATTGTATTTACACCATCGCTAGAAGTTTTTCAGATCCCCAAATCAAAAGCATCTTAAAAGTTTGTTTTGTTTTACGTTGCAGTGGTCCGGATGATCGATGGTTTGACTATGGATGCTATATGTACCAAACAAACAAATCCCACACTGTGTGTCACTGTTCACATCTCACCAACTTTGCTCTCCTCTTCGATTACCGTGGCTCTCCGGTAAGACGTGCTCTGCGCTCAGAATAGAATTATACCTTGTTATTTTAGCCATCAGTGAGCAATGTTTGTGCCTTTCTAAATAGTCGATGCAAAGGTCTTTCTTCACTGAATAGACTTTATTCCCTTAGTCGGCCGAAAACTTGTTACGCCTGAATACGTGACGGAGTTCGGTGGCAATGCTTTCTAGCGCTCTGTTGTGAAAAAATAATAATATATATTTCCACAAAATTACCTTGTGACAATCACGAAACAACGATTGGGAATTGTCCAATGCACGATATTGACACTAAGATTTTTACAACGTAAATAATGTATCACTGCCAATTACTTTCTACCTTACCTAGAATTAATAGCTATGAATGTAAAGTTTACGCCCAACAATTTTCAAAGCAGTGAGTTAAAGATGTGACTATATCTCGTTTGACTCGCTCCTTAGTCTCACTATCTTCCAATATGGGTTAAGGTCGACTTAATATATTTTGGATTTAAGGATCCTAAAA